TTAATTCTTCAAGTCCAGACACGGGTCTCCCAGACCCACTCAAAAGAGGAAAGTTTGAAATTAGACAACGGTAATGTTGTAATTTTTTTTTTTAAATACAAATTTTTTGAAAACCTCACTTAATTCTTCAAGTCTAGACACGGGTCTCCCAGACCCACTCAAAAGAGGAAAGTTTGAAATTAGCGTCTTTAGTAGGTGTTAGTTTAGCGCGCGATAGCTGAAGGCCCTGAAAACAACTTCAGGGCCTTCAGACAACGGTAAAGAGGTCATTGGCAACGTCATTCAATAACTAAGCGAATATTTAATTGTAAAGTGCGAAAAGGGTCTGAGAGACCCGGGTCTCTGGACAAGACGTTTCGACTTTTCGAAAAGTAAGTAAATTTTTTTTCAGTCGTACACTTAATACAATATATAAACAATACAATATAATAATACAATATATCAACCAATTGATGTTTTTTTTTCATAATTTTATCAAAATATATGTAAATTTGCAGCAATTTATTAGATTACGGCGAGCAGAGTGCGATATTTGCGACTACGGGAGCTGCCACCCCCGTGGAATATTATTGCAAAACATTATCTTTTCTTTAAACGCTGAAACGAAACTACTGAAGATTTTTTCAATTTGTTTTTTTTTCTTTTTTTTTATCGACGCAGAATCGTTCAAACTTTCAATTTAAACCAAAAAAAATTGGAAAAAATTATTAATTTTTTGAAGAGATACTCATCGATTTTAAAGTCACGTGAGTCTCACACAGACTCGGTCTGGACAACTCGTAAGTCATTTTTGATTCAACAATTAATAATTAACAGAGATTACTCTCGGGCTCTGTAGCTTCTAAACTAATAAATATATATGAATATAAGGTCATTAAGAGCCGTTCGCAGGGTGTTGTGCGAAAATGTGAGTATATATTTTTACGTAAATATTTTTTACGTGAATTTTTTGAATTGAAATTACAATTCTTTAAATCATACACCGAAAAAATTATATTCTTGTAAGTAGAAGATTTTATACTCAAAAAATCTTCTTAAAGATTTTAGATGATATTCTTCTGAAATTATAAATATATAAGACTATATTCTTAAATTAAGAATATATTCTTATATAATTTATATATAAGAATATAGTCTTAAATTAAGAATATATTCTTATATAATTTAAGAATATAGTCTTTTTTGATAGTGAGATATATATGTTTTTCTATATAGAAGCTTTTTATATTCTAATCAGTATATATTCTTATCTTATTTCAGAAGAATATCATCTAAAATCTTTAAGAAGATTTTTTAAGTATAAAATCTTCTACTTACAAGAATATAATTTTTTCGGTGTGACTTTTAATACACATGCGCGTATTTGATACGTATTATGCGGCTCAGAAAAAGAAAAATATCTATCTGTCTAATTTTCTTGAAAAGTTTGTGTATAATTTTTAAATTATTCAATTTAAAGAATTTTTTTAATTAAGTACACCGAAAAAATTATATTCTTGTAAGTAAAAGATTTTATACTTAAAAAATCTTCTTAAAGATTTTAGATGATATTCTTCTGAAATTAAGAATATATTCTTTATTTAAGAATATATTCATTATTTAAGAATATAGTTTTTTTCGATAGTGAGATATATATGTTTTTCTATAGAGGCTTTTTATATTCTAATCAGTATATATTCTTATCAATAGTACTATAATTAGAGGATTTTCCTCTTAAAATAAGAAACTCTTCTTGGCGCCAATTTTAGTATAAAATATACTTAAAGTAAGTGGGATATCTCTCCTCAATACAAGATTACAATTTTTTCGGTGTATAGGATGCTAATTATGCATCACATATATACATCATTTTTTATGTCTGGCCTTGAAGGGTTAAACAAATTAAAATCATATTAAAATGATGTAAAATGAACATCGTATTCTTTTTTCCTCTTTTTATTTTTCTTATATTTTTATGGCCAGTTTTACTTCTATTTTTTTTATTGCTTTTGTACAAATCGATCCATAAATTTCACGCAAAACTTAATAAATTAGTACTGACCTAGAAGCGCAATTTTACAAGCGCAGATTTTACACGCTTCGATAAGATATTCTTTATATAACTTAAAGGAAACAAGATATATAATGTTTCTAATAATCTTCCCGAAGGAAGAAACCTGTCGTTTGCAGAACTGATCGTCAGGCTGTGTCCTACGCTTAATCAATCAGGAACAGATTTCTGCGAGCAACGTTCGCTATAAAAGAACAACGTCTTCAAACCCCGAATACACATCGTATTTGTAAAGTACGTCGAATAGATCCGCTTACATCCACACGATACCAATCGTTTGCAGATTGGCAACCGCAGTGAGTATATAACACGTAAAAATCGTGCAATAATAAATTAAAAAACTTGTTATTCGGAGTAACCATGATTCTTTTCGAATATATTTGTTGACGTTAAAATAGAAAAATTTCAAAAATAACTTCACGCTTAAAAAACCAAAAATATTTCATTCCATTTTTTATTTCAAAGACTTATCAATTTTTAGTATCAATTTTTCTTTCTTTTTTTCCCTATTTTATTTGTTTACTCTTTTTAATTGTTATTGTATAAAGATTCCATTAAGCAGATTATTAATTAATGATCATGATAAAAAAACGTTATAAATTTGTTTGAAAGATATGTATTAAATTTAAATGTTACAATATCTATTAAATATCTACTAAATTTTTAATTTTTAATCTAGTAGATATTTAATAGACATTGTAAAATTTAAATTTAATACATTTTTTAAACACACCCTTACGAAAAACAACTACTAGCAAACTAATAATCTGTTTAATGGAATCTTCATACAATAACAATTAAAAAGAATAAACAAATTTTTAATTTAATAGATATTTAACAGATATACTAATACCAAATTAAAAATTTAGTAGATATTTAATAGATTAAAAATTTTAGATATTTAATAGATTAAATATCTAAAATTTTAGATATTTAAATAAATTAAATAGTAGATATTTGCTAGATTAAATATTTAATAGATTAAAAATTTACAATATCTATTTACTAAATTAAAAATTTAGTAGATATTTAATAGATAATGTAAGTTTATTGTAATAGATATTGTAAATTTTGAATTTAGTAGATATTTTAGTTTTTATTAAATATCTACTAAATTAAATATTTATTAAACCTGAATTTAAAAATTATATAAGAAGGAAAACACCAAAGAGCCTATGGTCCAGGTTAGAGGTGGACGTTCAAAAGTGACACAAACGTAGTATATTCCAGGAACGTTTCGATCAAAATTTATTGTTGATCATCAGCATTTTTTACAAAGTAAATAATAATATAATATATATCAAAACGTCCCGGAACACTTTTCTCTAACCTGGACCATAGGGCTCTTTGGTTTTTTCCTTCTTATAATTTTTAAATTCAGTTTACTTTAATGACTCTCTCTCTCTCTCTCTCGAGAAAATTTAATATGATAGAGAGAGAGAGAGAGAGAAAGAGAGAAAGGAAGAGGGATTTTCTCTAGATTAATGCACTTTTCTCTAGATACAATCTATCAATGGCTAACTATATGAGATACGTTATCGCTCTTATCGTTATCGTTGGCGTTGTTCATGGGCAAACATTGCTGGAAGATACAGACAGAAATGTTCTTGGGCTGAATTTTCCGTACGGCAGAGGACTGGTGAGTGCGTTCGTCCAGGAAAAGAGGCTAAATAAAACTTAAAAGAGATGCTTCAAACTTGCTTAACGTGTCAATATTTATCATATTATAAATCGTCAAATAAAAGAAAATTGATTTTCACACATCTTGTTTCAAACCGAGATATAGTTATTTAAATTGCGATATATAATTCAAAAATAAAGCTAAAGATAGTAATATAATACTACTAAAAATATATCAATTATAATAATAAAGAGTTTTAAACTCTTAAGTTTTAAACTAACAACGTGAAATTTTAACGGTCATGAGAGCCTTACGCTAGATGTTTGTTGTGGAATAAATATATATATATATATGTATATACTCGTATGTATTCCCTTACGAAAAAGAACTACTGCCGATTACATATAAATAAAGTCAGTAACCCAGATAGCCAACTGAGTGCAAGTTGTTGGCAACTTGCCACAAATATTACTCATATGTTTTCAGCAATGTAACAAAAAGGTGTATCCTCTTTTCGGTATGTTCTTGCCAGCAACAGTTTTCAAAATATAATAACAGCAAGTTCCCAACAACTCATCGGCAATAAACTTATATTATTTTAAATAATGATACACAACCGCGGAGCCTTTGGTCCAGGAAGGAAGTGGACATTCAATATACCGTAAAAAAACCACAGTGTATTTAGGGACGTTTCGATCATTTTTTTTTATTTTTTTTTTTATTTTTTTAGTTTTAATTGTATTTGATTGTACTTAATTATAATTTTTTGTTATTTAACAGTGCTGAGAGAAGATGATCAACAATAAATGATCAAAACGTCCCTAAATACACTGTGGGTTTTTTTTTTTACAGTATATTGAATGTCCACTTCCTTCCTGGACCAAAGGCTCTGCGGTTGTGTACCATTATTTGAATTTTCCATCGAGCCGTTTGTTTAATTTTATATTATTTTTCTCAACTTATGAATAAAAATTATTGCTCACGTATATTACTCGCATATTGCCGACTCACTTGTCACAAACATTGGCTACAACAATTGATTGATAATAAAACTCAGCATATTGAGATACCGAATTGACAAAAACATTTTCGTTGCGTTAAATAAAAACAACACAACAGCAATTGGCGAGCAACTTAATCTGTACAATGATTTGCTTTATATTGAGTTTTCACATTTGGCTATCTGGGAATATAAATATTACTGACAATCACATAAGAATATTATTAGGTATTACAAGAGAATCACTGAGAATATTACTGGCAATTACACAGAATGCCAGTAATTTTTTTTCGTACCACTGCCTCGCAATATATTACTGCCAGTACTTCTTTTTCGTAAGAGTATTTATTTATTTATTCCGCAACAAACATTTCCAGCGTAAGACTCTCGTGATTTAAATTTTGCGTTGTTAGTTTAAAAATATAAACGTTTATGTTAGGCAAGAATTGTTTTTTTTTTGCACGCTTACATAAAAATTATCAATTTTTTTCAGGACAGTGAATTACAACTGGCCAAATTAATGTTAGTAGCTCCGCGATTTTGTCATCCCAAACGCAATTCCGAGCTCATTAATTCACTGTTGGGTCTGCCGAAAAACATGCACAATGCCGGCAAGAAAAAATAAATCTCCTCTAGTTGCGTGTATACAAGACGCATATATATATATATATCGCATAAAAATCTATTTGCTTTGTAACGTATGCAATTATTGTACGAAGTACAGATTCAAGAAAACATATATATATTAAAGAAACTTTGTTTTCAATAAAACACAATGTAACCAAAAACAGACATACAAAATAAATGGGGATGTGAATAATCGCAAAAACACGTCTCTTTTTCGCTGTTTCGTATGTACAATTTATTTTTATAATTTTTGCAATTTATTTCTATCGATATACATCTCTTCTCTTCAACGCATGTATAATTTTTATACATGTGTGTGTGTGTATCTACGATATATATCATATATATATATATATAAGATATGACAGTAAAAAAAAAAATTTATCCATAAATACATTTTCCATAGTCTAAGAAAAAAAAGTCTTGTTTAGGATAAAAATTAATTTATATATATAGCAATTTTTTAGAACTTCAAATGAAAACCGCCGCCAACGGGTGGCGCTCTGCCGCCTTCCGTTAGACCCATGTGAAAACCGGAATTGCTGAACTCGGCGTCGTCACCGTCGCCCAACTGCTTGTATTCTCGGCCGCCGCTTGGCGGTTTCGGAGACGCGTTTGTGGTTCTGGTTCCCTGTTCCGACTTGGCGGGCCACGTAGGAAACATTTGCGGATCGATCGGCAAAGGTGCTTCGGTGAAGTAACCATGTTTGAGAGCATCTTCGGCACTTGTACGTTGCGCAGGATCGTACGTTAAAAATCTAAAAGCAAAGAAACAAGGCTTGTGTAAAGAAGAATATATCTTGTATGTTGTGTGATAACTCATATTCCTATTTGTAATACGGAGAAACTTACTTGTTAAGTAACTCGATACCTAAATCGGATAATGACAAACTGAATCTCTGCCTGAGATTGTTTACCGGATAGTGTGAGAACGGGATCTTTGGAACTACAGGCAATTTACTGTATCCCGGCCAGATTCTCTCGCTCGGTGTCCCCAACTCCTTGAATATCTTTTGCAATTGATCTATAATCGATTTTCCGGGAAACAACGGCTCCATTCTTAAAAGTTCTGCGAAGATACATCTAAAAAAAAATCAAGTTTACGTCGCAAGTGTTACATTTCGTTATAATTTATTAACCCTTTGCACTCGAGCGGCGCCGCTACGGCGCCAGGCCGATTTGAAGCGTCTACTCGAGCGGCGCTGCTACGGCGCCCGAGAGGTTTGATGCGTCCAGTCGAAATAAATAAATTGGTAAAATTTTATTATTTGTATACGTTTGTATGATTTTAAAGTACTGTAAAATGCTTCTCTAATATAGCCGAAATCGTCTCGAGTTGCTGGTTCACGCAAGCAAAAAAGACCTCAAGTGCAAAGGGCTAAAATTCAAATTGTTTTTAAAAAAAGAACATACGGGAGAAGATGTATTGAAAATTTGTTCTTACCCTACGGACCACATGTCTACAGGCGTGCTGTATTCATTGTCGCTCAACAATAACTCGGGCGCTCTGTACCAAAGCGTAACAACGATCGGTGTGTATTGTCTCAAGGGAGAGCCGTATTCTCGTGCTAAACCAAAGTCTCCCACCTTTAAGATTCCTCTGTGACTTAATAGCAAATTGGACGTCTTCAAATCGCGATGCAATATCCAATTGTCGTGTAGATGCGCGACCGCACATAACAATTGCTGCATCAGACACTTAACTTCTCCTGTGTGATCGAAATATTTCTTTTTTTTATCTGATATTTTTAATAAACTTTCGCGATGTGTTGCGTCATATCTGAAGATAGTTTTTCGAGTTTCGACGTTTCGTGAACATTTCAGTTCACAAGAGCAAGGTCAAAGGGCCAATAAAGAGCCTTGGACACGGATGTTGGTGTGTAACAATTAAGGATTTATATTAATATTTGATAGTTAACGTTACGATCCTAGGTTTTTGGATCATCTTCAGACAAACGCATAGGTGTCAATGTATTATACGTCAAAAGACCTTCAACGTGTCAAACGCAGTTCAGCAAAAGTAAACTTACTTACCTTCCTTTTTTGAATATTTTATTAGAGCCTTTTTGTTTCCTCTTTATTTCAGTTCTCTGTAAGAATTTTAAAAGTAACCTCTGATACTTACTCTTCATCAAGGTTACTCTGATGTAGCGAACCGAGAGAAATGTTCACAAAACGTCGGTATAAAACTCTGGACATTTAACGTAATTCAAACCCGAAAACTATCTCTTTAGATGTTTCTTCTTTGTATTTATGCTTTGTAAATTATTATTTTCTTTAATTGTCTTCTACGTAATAATAACTTGATTGGCATATAATTGATATAAAAATTGAAAAATGTGAAAAATAAGATACATACACAGTAATACATATGATAAAAACGCAGTACACACAAAAAAAAGCAAGGTCTCATATATGTATATTTCAAATTAGCAAATGAAAAAGGTCACATCGAGCCAAAAAAAAAAAAGGATATTAATATAATAATATAATGATTTAATGATCAACACTTTAACATGAAATAATATAAAAAATACGCAAAATATTTCGACTCTAACTGGAGTCTTCTTCAGTCGCAATGTGTTCACAATTATATATTATATATTATATTATTATATATATTATTATATTATATTATTATATAATTATATAATTATTATATTATTATTTATTATTATCATTATATTATTATATTAATATAATATCCTTTTTTTTGGCTCGATGTGACCTTTTTCATTTGCTAATTTGTATTTACATTACGAGCGTTTCTGTTAATTTATTACATTTTTTCTATGTATATTTCATTTATACGATGAAAAACTTAAAAGTACTTACCGGGTATAAAAACTTGTTTCTTCTGTTTCATTGTTTCTATCAACGATTTCAAGTCGTGTTCCACATAATCCATGACGATAAATATCTTATCCATGTTGCTGCCCACGACTATCTCTCGAACGGTAACAATATTAGGATGCTGCGCTTTAAGTAACGTGTTGATCTCCCGTAAACTCGTGATCGGAAAACCTTCTTTCTCCTTTTCCATTTTCAAACGTTTTAACGCAACTATTTCGTCCGTGCGTTTGTCGCGCGCTCTGTAAACCACTCCGTAAGTACCTTCCTCAATGCGATTTAAACATTGAAATTCTTCGACGCTTCTGCAACCTATGAATGATCATAAAATAAATGAGAATTTATATTTTATATGAAAATTATATAAAACACAAAAAGCGAAAATAAATAAATAGATAAACATTTGGAAAAACTCAAATTTATACAGGGTGATTCAGAACAACCCGTTATCCTTGAAAATACATATTCTTGACTAAATTCTAAGACAACTTTTTATCTGGCAAAATTTTGTCTGAAGCTTACTTTTTGAGTTATTAATCAAAATAATTGACTTACCACAAGTCGGATGCAAGAGGTAGGCAGGGACGGCGCAACTCACCGTCAGAGACGCGGGCGATTACGTGCGGTGCCTGACGCGATCAGCTGATGATCGCTACGCATTGTTTCTGTATCTTTTTCTGTCTCTCTCTCTCTCTCTCTTTTTTTCTCTTATTTATTTATTTATTCATTCGCAATTTGTATCATTTAATCCGTGCATCACATAAATCACTGTCAATCACGGTGAGTTGCGCCGCCCCTGCCTAACTCTTGGATCCGACTTGTGGTACGTCAACTATTTTTATTAGTAACTCAAAAAGTAAGCTTCAGAGAAAATTTTGCCAGATAAAAAGTTGTCTTAGAATTTAGTCAAGAATATGTATTTTCAAAGATAACGGGTTGTTCTGAATCACCCTGTATATATGTATATATATATATATACATGCACGCTTATTCCTGCACAACATCCCGGGAACGGCTCGTATTGGCCTTTTCATTCTTAGTTTATATCATAACAGAATTTGAAATAAAAAAGGATGTGAATTACCTTGAATAGCTGGCAGATAAGGCGGTAACTCCGGTTTTTCGTCTTTCTTTTCTTCGTCCTCCACAGTTTTTGCAACGTTATTAGAATCAACGTGTCCGGGAGAATCTCCATCCGAATGATCCGACTTGGCCAATCGATCGACCGACAAAGGGCTCGGATTGTTGTAATCCGAACCGTCGTTGGAATCACCGCCTGAACCTTTGTTCGATTCGTTGGAGTCGTCGTCGTCGTCGGTGCTCGAGTCCGAGGAATCGGACGAGTGTCGATCCGAAGATCTATCGCGGGGACTTCTCTCGCCTTCGGACGAATGTCTGGACTCGGCCGATTTCGAACGCGCTTCTTCCGAGTGAACGGGACTCGCGCTCTCATCCGACAGATCAACAATCGACGGGTCCAGATTGTTGTCCGGACTCGAAGGTCGTTTCTCGCCTCGTTTCATCCTTCTCGCTTCCAATTCCATTCTCGAAACCTCTTTTCTCCTAGCCATTTCCCTATCGGCTTCCAACAATCTTTCCTTTCTAAGTTCCTGCTCGGTCATTTCCTTCGGATCTTTCATCTGTATCTGAATCTCATTTTGCACCTCCATCTCGCCGATCTCGTCGGACACGATCTCCATCGCTTCGCGCAGCTGCTTCTCCCTGTGCTCCTTCTCACGTTCAATCTTCTCCTGCTCCCTTTCGCGCGTTCGATCGTGCTTGTGAGATCTCTTGCGACGTTTCTCGGGCCGTTCCACGAGCTCGCTGTCCGAGAATTCCTCGTCCACCACCATTCTGTGTATATGCCTCTCCTCGAGTCGCATCTCGCGACGTTCTCCTCTTACGTCGTCCATAATACGCATCTCGCGACGTTCCCTTATATCATCTATTCGCACATCTCGACGATCTCGCGATTCGCGCGACACCTCTCTCGGATCGTCCAAACGCAATTCGCGACGAGACGACGACTCGATCTTGTAATCCCGATTGTCGCGAGGATCTTCTCGCCTCTCTCTTCTCTTATCCAACAGTCTGTAATTATTCATTCTGTTTATAATATATTTATATTCCTTCTGAGTGAAAATATGAAAAATTAAAACAAAAGATCTAGATTAAGACCAAAGTGTATACAAATTTTACCTTTCCCGCAGATCTTCCAGAACGCGATCACCCGTGCTCCTCTCTTTGCGGTCGTGTCTCGACGATGATTCTCTCTCTCTCGTGTGCGAGTGACTCTCCATTCTCTCGCGGTTGCGCTTGGAACTCTCTAAACGTTCGGATCTTTCCAACGGTTCTCCGACGTGTCTCCGATGCCTGTGTTTGTCTCTGTGTCTGTCCTCGCGTTCATGCTGACGCGATTTGCGTTCTTTTTCCTCTCTGCGACTTCTTCGGTCGCCGTGCTTGTCTCTACGACGAGAACTCGATTTGTGATGATGAACAACCGCTTGCGGCGGTTTGATATCCAGGGAGTCGGCGGTGTCGCCGCCTTCTTCCTCAGAAAAACTACATCAGACAAAATAACAGAAATTTTTTTCTACAAAAGTTTCAACCAGTCGATCAAGCATTGTGTGTGATTTCTTAATTTTGTTATTACATTTTTATCCGACAGTCTGAGATAAAATTATTATTATTTATTTCTCTTTCAAGAAGCACGCGATACGAAAAATACAAAAAATTAATTAAAATTGCGACTGCGTTTGTGGAGCGCGCTGTTTGCACTACTGCGAATCGTTCTGTCTTTGTTTTTTCATCTGATGAACAATAAAGATGGAATGATGCGATAGCGCAGGTGGTGCGTTCCCTGAACGCGGTCTATATTTGCATTATGGATACACAAGTGTATTGATACGGTCGCGGAATTCTAATTACCTAAAAATTCTAATATATCAATTGTCATTCTGTTTCCAAGATGATGTTTCAGCATTTTATTGATTGTAAAAAGAGCTGTTTCGTTCGAATATCGTATTTATCAAATTCTGTTATTCATATATATATATATATATATATA